GCTGTCGTATTCGAGCAACTATCCTAGTGATGCACGAAAACGCTTCCGAGTTAGACAGTATAAATTAGTGGGACGTCAAGAACGAGAAACTGCTACAGCGCAGCTCAGCAGAGTGAACAGAGATACGTGACAGAATGCCCCTTGCATCGTATTCTCGCAACTGAAGACGATACGAGCAACGATACGGGCAACGAACGACGGCAGTATGAATGCTGGACATGGGTTAGCAAAGAAACACTGGCAGACACCGGTTTGTTCCGTGGGTCGGGGTAAAAATGAAACCTGCAAGTCAAAGCAAACAAAAGGGCATGAACCAAAAACGTCCAGTGAGATACAGGCTCTCCCGATAAAATATTGCTGGCGCGATTGCCGTGCGTTACAGGCGTTCTAATCTTTCCAGATTAGGTGAAATATAACCACCACTTGTGAACAATAATAACTAGTCCATTTGGGGTCAAAGGAGATATATTTGGGACCTTTTTCACGCTCTGCATGCACGCGTTCTTTCTGTGGACTACAACTGCATACCATTTCAATTTCAAAGGAAAAAATTATCGGCCTTTTTTAATTTAATATTATCTAATTACGTTTTAATTGTGAAACGCTTTGAGCGAAATTAGTTCATTTCATTTGATTTCAGATTCAAAACTATTCTGGCCAATCGAAAATGCATTTCTGCACACCTTGTGTGACCTGTTTCTCGCAACGTAGAAGAAACTGTAGCAGACAAAAGAGAATACAATTTTATGCATAATCCCTGCTATCCACTGCCCAAATGTCACATAAACCATTGCATAGATTTATTACACAAATTGATTGTTCACTCATTCCGTTTTACACATGTCACCTTAATCATTCACATCGCTTTACTTTTCTCTCAGCTCAGCTCAGCTCAGCCCCACCCTGACCCTTATCGCCACAACGTACTCTGAAAGTGAATCTGCCTAATTGCCATGTGTATCAATAGCTATTACAGTTCTTATTTTCGGTCCACAGCATCTTCTCATTGGAACACAGAGTCTACATACAACATAGCTTTCATTCAGAGAGGAGAAGAGAAAAAAATTGGAGTTCAACAGACCACGACGCACAGTTGTATTGAGATACATGCTAATCGCAGTTCCATGAAAGTGCAAATTTGGCATGAGTTTTTTCTACTCACACCGTTTCAGATGCAAATAAAAGAAAACAATCGTAANCAGATGCAAATAAAAGAAAACAATCGTAACACAAAAATCTTTTAAATTTCAATGATGATTATGATTGGTGTTGTGGTCGAAAGAATAATAGTGTTTAACAGTTTACAATAACTGATGTGGTTCAACCTTGCGATTCTAAGACATATATATATATATATGTATATGTGTGTACGAGGGTTGAGCAAAAGTTTTCGGTAATTACCGTACGCATACGAGGTGCATATGACCGGCCAGGGAAAACGGGAACTTTAATCTATTAGAAATATTGTG